AAAAAAATATGGTGTCAAGACATGAATTGAAATTCCAGAACAGATATTTGATAATTAACTTGCTATCAAGCATCGGCATTAATCTTTATTAGAGTGGGAAGTGCAGCGCAAACTTCACTTCATTTCATTATTAATTAGTAGATAGAATGAGTCTGTTGAGACTGGGTCACAATTGACATGCCATCAAGCGTTGGCATTAATTTTTATGAAAACAGGAATTAATACAGTATAAACTTCATTTCACTTAATTACTAATAGATAAAATAATTCTATTAATATTAAGACTTATTATTCTATCATAATTTAAAAAAATTAAAAGTGGAGAATCTTTTTATGGTTTAGTAACCATTTCGTTATTATAAAAAACTTCTCATATTAAAATTAAAAAATATAAGGTTTGAATTCCACTCATAACATCAAAAAAATAATAATAATAATAAAAGGGAGACATTTGTACTACATTATTCCCGACTTCTATATTACTGTTATGCCGTTATGGCCCTTAATTAAATGACCATGTTTGCTCTGTCTCCTGGTTTTCAACTTCCCAAGTTCCAACAAGGAAAAAACGTACAGTTTAGCTCAGAGACCACTCTGGTTTTTGGTTGCATTCTTAGGAACGTAGACGGCTCTAAAGACGGCCCCAGGCCCTAACTGCAGTGGACTGTACCCTATAATTTTACAGCAAGACTGCTGTACGTATTGCCGCAGCGCTGCAAGCTCTCTGCATATTCCCTCTAAATTATTAACATAAAAGCATCCTTCTAATAGATAGATATCACGGTCTGCATTTAATTGCAGTGGTATCTAAACTAATAATTGAAGTGCTTTGTGTCCTCAATGTGCATTTTCCTTCTAAAGGTTTAACTCAAAGTATCCACTAATGGATAGATATCATGGCTTCGAATTTAATTGCGGTGTTATCAAACAAATAATTGAAGTACCCTCCATTTGCAAGAATTACTGTGCCAAATTTTGGTATGTTTATTCAAGACCTTCACCAACTTATCTTAATTAATCCTATATGCTCTAGACCCACGCCCATGTGTTAGTTGAGCGTTAGCTTTCTCTAATTAGAGACGATAAGATTATCCTCTAACCCAACCTTTTTCTACATCTATTAATGAACTATTGGATGAATAGCTCTTTCTTTGGTATAACGTCAAATCTGACCATCAAATAGAAGGATGAGGACAAATACGCCCCTCAATAAAAGGTAAAAATAAATTAATCTTTTAAATTATTGATTAAAATAAATAATTTATTATTTAATGTGTAATATTATCACACATTAAAAGTTAATTTATCATCTAAACATGATTTTAACATAGAGTTAAATCAATGATCTGTTGGGTCGAGTGAAAGGAGATCGGTTCTCTTTAAATAAGATATTAAGTTCAAATATTATAAATGGAGAAACAGACGTTGGGAGATCTTCTCCCAAATAAAATGCGATGCGATTCAATTTCGAATTAGTCGGGATCCAATATGATTACTGGATATTAAGAAGTTAGTAAAAAAAAAAACAGAGAGTAAATAAATGATAATGTCATGTATTAAAAAATAAATAATTTACCTTAATTAATAATTTAAAAAATAATTTATCCCTATTTTTAAAAAAAAATTGTTCTTACTCTTTTATTTAAGGGACAAATATAAGATTTGACCCTCTTTCTTTCATATACTTATTTTTCATAAAAAAAAATCCACGTTAAAGTTTAAACTCAAAATTCAAAACCTTAAATTTTCATAGAATGAGACGTGAAGGGAACAATCAATTATTAATAGTAAGTCCACGGTGCTAATAACAATGTGGACAAAAACGTAATTTCATCTATGCCCAATAATTAGGCTAGAACAGATCCCTTCCCACCAAACGGCCTTTTCTCTACCGTTCCATCATGTCATGTTAGGGTGTGGTTAAGGGACCCAAAGGTGTTATGGACACTTAACTTTTTTTAATATTTATTTTTAAAATATTAATTTAATTTAATTATTAAAAATAATTAATAACAATAATAATATTAATAATTTATAATTACGTCAACATATACATTAATTGGAATTATCAACATTGATGCGTCTTCTAGAGAAATAGAAATTATTTTGCAATATGTGTAAGTGTGAGTTAATTTGAAAATATCCTAACAAATATATAAATATATATAAAGAGGTTAGTGTATGTTAGTATAAACTCTAAAAAAAATTAGAATTCTAACTTTTTAATTATGTTGTTTTATTTAATTAAAATTTAATATAAAAATTAAAAATTTATCTTATAAAAGTTTTTTTAAAATTTTAAAAATAAATTAAAGTTCAATTTTAAATTATATTATTTTATTTAATTAAAATTTAATATAAAAATTAAAAATTTATCTTATAAAATATTAATATTTAGATTTAAAAATTGATTATATTGAAATATATAATTGATTTTTAAATTTATATATTAATATTTAATAAAACAAACATTTTAATTTTAAATTAAAATTTTAATTTTTAATTATGTTGTTTTATTTAATTAAAATTTAATATAAAAATTAAAAATTTATCTTATAAAATATTAATATTTTGATTTAAAAATTGATTATACTTTTAAATTTTAAATTAAGATTTTAATTTTTAAATATAAATTAAAAATGTAATTTCTTTTTTAAAAAATTGAAAATAATACGTATTATATATATATATATATACTTAGTGCACTGCAACATAAGTTTATAAAAAAAGTTTTGCATTAGTCCTTCTTTGTTCGTTATTAACACAGCAAATTCACCTG